ACCTGGAGCTCCGCCCACAGCAGTGATGCGACGCTCCTACAGCCTGCCCAGTGGACCCCAGCCACCACGGAAGATAAGAAAAAGAAAAAAACATAGTGCAAGCTTCGGCGCTAGGCATCGGGGCATTTTGACAAGTACAAGTACTTGTCAAAATGCCCTGTATCGGGCCCGATTCTGATGCTAGCATCGGTATCGGGACATCCCTAGTGGAGAGAATTAGAACCTTTAACTCCATGGCTTGTGGAGCCAGTGGGTAAAGGCATCACACAATGGTCCACCATTTACTGATGAATCAGTTTGAGGAGGAATGCTCCTTTTAGGAAAGCTTATAATTTACAACTTGCAGAGCAACTGAATACATTTATATTCAGCCACACATTTCACTATAGGCAAATGACCTTCGTAGGCATCTGCAGTGATGTGTGTCTTGTGATGATGTATTATTCTACAACAGGGTATTATATTTATGTCCACTCTTGATTTATCAGATCTTTGGTCCATTGTATGAAATATGGAGGTATACGATCTCTAGCTCAATTTAGTTGTTCTCAGATCTCCCCAGGCATCTCCAGTAAATGTGTACATAGCTCATGACTCAATTTATTGTGCTCCAATTGAAGCATATTCCCCCCGCTATCAATTTTGATTAGCTGCGTCAGATTCTCCATCCCCTCAGTGGTATTAAATTTTGTATAGATATCCCCAAGGCAGGAATAATTTAATTAGAATTGTTTTGATAACTTTTCGTTTATTATTAAACCATTAATAATTTAGCTGGGTTTGATGCAGAATGGAAATGTGTGCCTTCACTAGATGATCTGTGGCAATAGTCTTTATTATAATTTCAGTATACTCTCCTGGACAATAGGAAAAAATCTAAAAGCATGCACAAAAATGCATCTATTCAAATGGAATACTGAGTAAAGCTGTGTCATGGTACCTCTGTGTAGTGCAGTCCTAACATAATTTCTTGAAGTGCTGCCATTCAGATATTTTATAGCATTAGCGACAATGAGAGAAGGCTCTCCTAGAGGCTACCCCATTACTCCCTATGGCACATTTTGCACTATTTTGTTGCTTATCTAGCACAAGTTGGCAGCAGATTGTGTCTTTCCAGATCCTGGATTCAAACACAAAAAACTTCCTTACACACACATGCACAAGTTGAACTTGATGAACCTGTGTGTTTTTTTTGTTTTGTATATTTTTGGGGTTTTTTTCCAACTTTATCTAATGTGTAACTATATTCTCACCAGGAACCCTCTCTTTGTAGAGTTTATATTTTCTCTAAATCTTTGCTTGAGTTTCTATCTTTTGTTCTGGTTTTCTTCCACAACTCATGAGACATGCTAGATGGCTACCTTGCCACTGACAAAAATGGCACCAGTGTGTATGCTTGTAAGGCCATGGAAGGGGCATTTGATTTGAATAGACAGGGTCAAATGCTGGTTTGATGTTTTCTGTGTACTGTGCAAGTTTTTTTAGTCACTCTTCTATAGATATCTAAATGATTTGGATAAACGGGTAGAGTCAAGGGCACAACTGAAGCCATAGCAGACCATGCATCTCCTAGGGGGCCCAACACTCTGACTGCACGAAGGTTTACGCAGGTAGCAACAGGAGCTATTTATGAAACAAAGTTTGTTTTAATTTTGTTTCTCAGATCTTAAATTCTATGTAAATTTGGTTAAAATGAATATATATATACAGTGTATGTGTGCGTACACGCGTGTGCAGGGGTGGATATATAAATGCAGTAAACCATGCATGAGACCAGGACATCCAAGAAAAATTCAAGCAGGTTTGTACCTGCACTTTTATTTAGCAAAGCAGTAAACAAACATGGCATCAGTGCTGACTTTTTTCAGCAAGTCTACAGTATAGCATACAACAAAGCAAAACATCTGCTTGTCCAAGTCCCTAACTAAACCCATGTGTGTTGCTGACTAACAGGGTGCCCCCTAATGGGTTCCCCAAAAGAGGCAGCTTTGGTATCTTTTAATAGTCTGTCAGCAGTCAACCTTTCCACAGAGCAGTAGGTTCTCACAGCACAGAAAGTGAAAGAGAGCCTCTAGCATAGGTAAGCCATATCTAAAAAGACCTGTGGACAGCTGACTCATTAGTGAGGTCTGGCTTACTTGTAAAATGTGGACCCTAGGACTCAAGGCTTTATCCCACCCACAGCTCTACAAAGCCTCTGGGCACCAGGATCCAGACCAGGACTTAAGATCTAAGAAAACAACAGACACAGACCCTGGAGCCACTCACCATGTGTAGGTGAGAAACCTAGGTGACACCTATACACCATCCACAATCTTGCCAGCTAATATCTCACAAGAAATAATTAAACAAAAATATTAAAGGGGGCTTTAATTTGTTTTCCTAGTGGGTTCCACAAGTTACTGTCTTGGGTAGGAGTACAAACTGTCTTCCTGCAGTTCTTTTAGGTAAGCTAGTTCTTGCTAGGCTGCTCTTCTTAAAGTAATAGGCAAAAGTTTGACTTTTTGGAAAACGTCAGCTCATCCCACATTTCAATTTTTAAACACTTTTTTTGCAGGCTGCAGTTGTATGCAGAAAGCACTGACACTTTACTCTCACTGTAAGATCAGACATGCCTTTGACATTTTGGTTGTATTTAAGCTTAGATTCACCTTTTTCTAAGCTGTGCCAAAAGGAGAATGGCAGAGCTCAATGGGGACTAACTGAGCGTTGGGGAATATACATGAAAAAGCCAGCATCACTAGGAAGGATCTAACTGAAATATATATTTTTTTTTATTTAAATCTGCATCAGAACATAAAAAACAGAATTGGCTTATAGGTTTTAACCCTAAGTGGTCTTAATCATAGTATTTGATAGCTTTTAAACGGCTTGAGTTTTTGATGTAGAATGAGAGATTGCGTTTATTGATCATGCACCAATGAGTTGTTTATTAGCTGAATAGTTCACATTTGTTTGTGGTTCTATTAACATTGGTAAAGTAAAGCTGTTATTCAAATAAGAAGTTAGACACTGGGCTCAGTGTAATATGAATGTTGTGCATAAATAGTGGAAAGGCTTAATTTACAAAACTCTACACAATTATGAAAAATCTTTATCTTTAGCCATGTGACTGTAAATTTCAAAACTCCGTGGACTAAGCTGAAAAGAACTTGCCTTATTGAAAATTTAAAGATCCTCATCCGGTTGTGAATTGAGGTCAAATCTCAAGAGAAATCTAATTTTAAATAATAATGAGACCTCTATCTCTCTTAGTCAGCCTTTAAGGCTTATATTAGAAGGTGGGTATCACTAAAGCTATGAGACAACTGCTTTCGGCACCGGACTCCTGGAATTTTAGTGGTTTAAGGTTAGGGTTTGTGGTTTGTTTAAGGGTCAGGGTTAAGATTTAGAGATTGGGTTAGGTTGAGGTAATGGGTCAGGGCATGTGGATAAGTTTGTTCTTTTCCGTTTTTCTGTGCCAAAAACTACACACGACTAGCACAATTCTTGGTGCTGAAACCTAAATGGGTTAAGATGAATTTCTCAATTGGTTTTGCTACTTTTTTTCCCAGATATGCAATCTTCCTCAAGTAGTAGTGAGCTCCAATATGTGACAAGAAAATTCTGTTGGTGCAAAGAGTGAAGACTGTCAAGATTCCAGGCACAGATTTCTTTATAACTCTAATTTCCAAACGTCCCATCTGGTTTCATAGGTGAAGAGATTATTCTAAATAAGGACCCTAAGTACCCCCACCAATTGGAAAGCCTAAAAACTAAAACTAGCATTACTGAACCACAAACCTACTAAATGTAATAGGGAAAATGGCTTCCATTTTGTGATCTGATAAAAGATGGCCTTGGCATCCCCAGATTGAGCAGCAGAAGTGTATTGCTAGACACCTGAAATTACTATATTACCATTTCTAGCTTTGGTATGTTGCTCAGTGTCCTCTAACCCTTTCCAAACTGTTATGGTTTTATATAGAGGAAGCTTTCTAAATACATAAGCTCCACATGTCTTCCATCCACAAATTCAACATCTTAAAATGTGTGGCAGTGGCAGGTGCTCAAGTGAATTTATACTCAATGGAATTTCTTGCTCCTGTTATAGACAACTCGGACTTTCCTTTGGTCTCAAGTCTAACAGATGGAAAGGTTGGAGTAGTAAAGAGATCGGATAGCTTTTGGATCTTGTGGCTACGTTTTTATCCTTTCTCACCTCAGAAACAAATTCCAGCTTTGTTGCTCAGCTGCATTTTTATACCTTCAGATTTCACGCTTAATGCAAGAACTTCTGACATTACATTCCTTTGAGACCCCTTCTTTCTTTGAAAACCTCTGTAAAAAGTGAAACTTGCTGATAGATTTATCTTTTGATATGCCTGTGCATTAATTAGCCTTTCTAAGGGACTCTACTATCCTGTATAAGTGTGTCTTCCTAAGCAAAGAATATTGGGTTTCCAAAACCTCATTAGATACTTTTAAAAGAACACAAAGAACACAATAAGAGGATATGTTTATAGGTGGTATCAAACCCCAGTTAGGCTTTTAAAGACTTCTAGTTGTTTTCTCCTTTGTGTTCAAGGATTTGGTGGGACCAGCATCTGTAGCCAGTCTTGGTTGCACTTCCTAGACCTGTAGCTTTTTGAAAAGATGTAATACAGACTAAAATTTGCTAAAGTCTATTTACAGGGCAATCCCTGTAGCCCGCTACGTAATACTGGTGACAGAAACAACTATATAGGAAGATTTTAGAGCAGACTTTCAGATTTTGAAGACCTGTGGAGATTTCAATGATTACCATGAGCTTGCAAATAGCAGCGATCAGTATTGTAATTTTTGTGAATGTAAATTGGATCTTGAGCAAATTGGAAAGTGTGCACATAAATGTGCTGTATAAAAATAAACCTGACATATATGCTCATGTGTGTTAATATGTTTATTAGATTTATTATTGTTTTATTTGTGTTTTCAGCACTATTTATTGTATGTTACCAATCCAGATTATCTAATTTCAGGTGCTGCATTTCTGGCTATTACTACGATATATGCAGAGAGCGGGTCTGGTTTTGTAGTCCCTAGTGCTTCTGCAAAGGCAGGCGTGGAAGCACTGTGCAAGTAAGTGCTTCATGATACTCCATACAGCTTATTAATAATCATAACTGCTTTGGAGGACAGCCAAAGTGGTTAGCAGGCTTGCTTTGCAGTGCTGAATTCTATTTCCAGCAGCAACACCTGCATGGCCATCCATGATTGGAGTTTTTCTTTAGCATTGCAGAAATGTTGGTAGATTAATCAAATTCTAGCAAAATGATCCTTAAATTAAATTATGTGGAATGACTGCAGTACATGCGTTAGATTTTATGTTTTTTCAGTTTCAGGTTAATGTCCCAGAACTTGCTGGTAACATAAATAAAATAAATATCCAATAATACCTATGTATTACAAGCCAATGGCATCAAATTAAAGCATTGCTCATATTGATTTATTAAACATAAATAAAATCTATAATGTCAAAAATCAAATATTAACACACCAAGCCATCACAATCTCCATTTTGCCATACTAATCAGTGCAGGTGTTTAAATGCTAATATTATATGTGGAAATTTAACATTGAAATGTGATGTGTTACCTGTGTTACAAGGCAACCATACTGTGAATCAGTAATGTCCCTAAAGAATAGATACTCATTTCTGATGATTCATCAGAAAGCCTCATACACCATTTCACGTGATGTGCAAGTGGCAAAGATGGTCATTTGAACTGTTTCATGCAGAATTAATAAAGAACAGTAACATTTGTGGACTTTTTCTAAGTCTTTTGGTGAAATTATGCATTGTGCTTCCAATTTGTAGATCCCTTGCGGCTGAGTGGGGAAGATATGGCATTAGGTTCAATGTCATACAGCCTGGGCCCATAAGAACCAAGGTACATAAACATTTCTTAGATCATGTTGTAACTTTCCATAGTCCTAGATTACAGTTGAACACGATTTGTTTGTCTTTAATTAATCCCTATTTTCTTTCCATTTATCAGGGAGCCTTTAGTCGCCTGGACCCTACTGGAGCCTTTGCGGCTGACATGATTAAGCGAATTCCTTGTGGACGTCTGGGCACAGTTGAAGAACTAGCCAATCTGGCAGTATACCTGTGTAGTGACTATGCTAATTGGGTGTCCGGGGCAGTAAGTGTAACTCCCTTTTTTTTTCTTTTCCGTCTCCCGTCTCTCTTCTCTGTTCTGTAGGAAAAAAAGTTAGTAATGTGTAATATGTGATCTGAGTAATATATTTTGTTATGCTTTTTCACACACCCTTATAACTGAAAGCAGATAGAAAGCAGTGTAATGAAGGGAAAATTGTAGTTTTTTAGATGTCTTAATGTAAAAGTCAGGGTATAGAATAAGGACTGGGAAAATAAATATATATAAATATCATTTTTTTTTTTATTTCACAAGGTTAAAATGTATGTCATACATATGCGGATCAAACTCAGAACCTCACCGTTAGTAGCACTATGGCCTTGCCAAGCGAGCTTAGCATATATACTTCTAGAATTGTGACCATTGTATTCAAAAGCCCCCAATTATAGTCTACAGGAACTATTATGCACATTGGGACCAAGATCTAATATATCAAGAAAGCTGACTGTAGAACAGTTATGTAAAAAGGTAAGGCACGTTGACTTGGGGGCAAGAAACTCCACAGAAGGGAAAAATAATTTTGCCTCGACTTCTACTTTTTAGTATCACATAGTACTGTCTTATGCAGAGTATCTTTGGTAGACATTTTTTATTTGATTGTATTTACTAGGTACCCCACCACAGTCTGTTAACGCAGCACACAAAAGCTGCCAACTAGTCTGGACATAATGGGTGCCTCCTTTGGAATGACAAACTGGGAAAAGATTTTGGTAAATAGGTGCACATTTTAACCGCTTGCCGTCAACCCATTGTGAAAAAACGAATGTAGTCAGACTCACATGGGCGGGTTGCCGTAATTAGAAGGCTTTTTTTTCCTTCTCCCGCGCGCCCCCGGGCAGGAAAATCCCACCCGTTCTTTACAGCCGTTACCGGCTGTTTGACATGCAACCGATCGGCGGCTCTATAGCCTGCCAATCGATTGTATGTTGCGTTTTGCTCGCCCCCCGTCGAGGGCCGCCCCCTCCTGACCCCTCACCTTTCAATCCCGGCTTCCGCTAGCCCATCTGCGGCACAGGACCGGCTCAAGAGAGAGCGTCAGGAGGTAAGATGGGAGGGAGATAAGCATATTCCTCGCTGTTCTCCCTCCGTGCTGTGAATGCAGAAGTAATGTGTATTAGATTACTTCCGCATTCACCTGTCAGTCATCTGGCTGCTATAGCCAGGGAGAAGAAGCTGATGAAGCAGATCTCTGCTTCATCAGCTTCTTTTGGGGTACCCAGTTGACATTAGGGGTCTTATCACCCTATGCGATAGCAATAACAATAAGTGTAAAAAAAGTTTTAAAAATAGTTTTAAAAAAACAAAATTTTTAAGTCCCCCCACCCCCACGTTTACGCACATACAAACGTAAATACGCGTTTGATGCGCCAGCGCGCAAAAATGACAATTGTGCTACACATGTTACATATCGCCACAAACTTCGGAGTGAGAGCAATCATTTTAGGGCCATCAATCAATGATAACACTAAACTGATGAGCGGTAAAAGCTTTTAAAGCGTCACCTATGGTCAATTCTGGGTATTATAGTAGCTCGTGCAATTTTAAGGCTTGACATGTTTGGTGTCTTTTTACACGACGTGACCCCGTCTTTTATATTTTACCAAAAAATTGGGTAAAAATAAACAGTTTTTTTTTTTTTTTTTAAATTCGGTGATTTAAAAAATAAAAACTCCCGTGGTGATTAAATACCACCAAAAGAAAGCTCTATCTTTCCCCAAAAAAATGGTATAAAATTAATTTCAGTACAGTGTTGCATGACGGAATAAATGTCAGTCAAAGTACCGCAGTGCTGAATGCTGAAAAATGGCCTGGCCAGGAAGGGGGTTTAACACCGCGGACTTCAAGTGGTTAAGCATCATAATATTGTTACATCAGAAGACCTTTTGCCTTTGCCATTTTTAGGACACTTGAATTCCTATTTGGCACTTGTAAATTATATTTAAAAAAATATTATATATTATAAAAGCTGCATAATAATTGATACACTAGGGAGGACTGCCCTGAAGATGCCTCCCATCTACCCCTGCTTCTAATGTGGGACCAAGCCATGAGCTGTTCCACAATTTTGCATATATGATGTCTGCAACAAGCATTTTTACAGTAGTTTTTGGGACTTCCCTCCTGTGCCATAGCTTTATGCTCTGTGGATCTTGCCAGTAGAGCCAATTATTTTTTTCTTACTGTAATAAGATGATAATGCTGTTTGTTCTCAATTGAAACTTTGCAACAGTGTTGTCATTCTGTGGCATAGGGTGGTCTTAAATCAGGGGAAGGCAAAACTGAGGTTCTCCAGCTGTGGTGAAACAACAAATCCCTTCGTGCATCTGTCTCTGGGAGTGCTTACTGAGACTGTCGCAGTCTTGCAATGCCTTATGGGATTTCTAGTTGTACCACAGCTGGAGAGCCAGAGTTTCCCTATTCCTTCTTAGATGGACATGTAACTTCAAATAAAAGGAAAACAAATTAAAGGCCAACTCCAGTTAACACTTTTTAAGCAAGCTAGGTTATTGTTTTTCTTTTAAATAAATATTCATGTAATTTTATTGGTATCTATCTTCATTTTGTACATTTACCAGTAGCTGCCTCATTTCCCACCCTCAGCTTATATTCGAGTCAATACTTTTTCCCAGTTTTTTGTGGTAAAATTAGGTACCTCGGCTTATATTCGGGACGGCTTATACTCCAGTATATACGGTAATTTTTATTTTGTTTTTGGGGTAGTAAGCCATATCAATAAAAGCGACCATTGTAAGTATCCCTGTCAGTGTTCTGTTTGTCCCACCCCTGGAACTGAAACGTTTGCTGGACTGCTTGAACTTGAAGGAAGTGGAAAAACAACATCTTATGGTAGGATCAACAACCTTTTATTCTGGGGGATCTCTGAGAAACTAAAACTACTGTGTTAATGCTAGAGACTGCATCATATATGGCATTTTTTACTTTGCCCATAATTCAAATACTAGAATTATTTCCATAGGTTGGAATCTTGGATAGATATTAATCCGTTCGTGCCCACCCTCTGCGTGTGTATATATACATTCCCCAGCACAGTGTCCCTTGCTGGGGTTACTTAGTGCAGCAGAGGTTTCTCAGGAATGATCAGGAATTAATCAACATGGTTCCCAATCATATGATCATTATCAGGGCCGGACGCTGTAAAGCTTTCTCGCACAGGGCGCCTAAAGGCCTAAGGCCGGCCCTGATCATTATGTCAGGGCTATGGCAGTGACCACATGCAAGCTGAGGGCCTCACTAAGAAAAATTTAAAGGGCTCAGTCTGCAGATGAACACTACCACTGATGGGCTGCACTGCTCATCTACAGTACCATAGTTTTAATGCTGTATTTATCAGATTACAATATTTGGAATAATACATTAATGAAAGCATACACATTTTTTTTAATGTTAGGCATTTGTAAGGCTGTGCTAAAGAAAACAGAACATACTTTTTTAAAAAGCATTATATGCCCTTAACAAAGGTTTTTAGGTATGCAAATTTGTAATGGGCATATTGACAAGTGAACCGACACTGATGCTGCTAAAATTGGCCTGAGCATATAGGCATAGACCTCTGGGCATGAAAGGGTTAAAAAAATATTAGAACCTTCAGCCAAAAGTATGAACTTTGTTTTCAAGTTAAAAATTCTCATTTTTTTTATAGATCATAAGAATGGATGGTGGTGAATATGTCTATATGGCTGGAGAATTTAATAGTTTGCAGAAGGTAATGTACATTAAATGCCAAGTTCTTCCTTTCTGTTTTTGCGTTTGCTACAGAGGCTTCCTTATATCAATCAAATCTAGTGTCCTTTCTTCTCCTCTTTGTTGGTTTACTCTTGTTCTTCTGGCTCTTTTAGTTAAATGTTTCTGTTTTTACTGCTATGCTGTCCCTTTTATGTATGGAGATGATGCAGAATTTTCCCCAGCAGCAAAAGTAGTACATGCAGTGATTTAGTACACACAGTGAATGTATTTAGCTGATTCAAGATGAAAGTTCAACTGGGCTTTAAGGGTTCAATGGGCTTATAATTGCTCCTGGGGGTTAGGGATCTGCCTGAAAAGTGCCCCCCTCGGCTTATACTCGAGTCAGTATAAACTGTCCTAGACCTGTTCCTGATGTAAACACAACAAAACAGCAAAAGGTGAGTGATCCGGAGAGGCAAAACCTTAGATGGGAAAGGGTGGATGACTGGTTCTCATTCAAAATTTGTAATTATGGCCAATGGGTTTCAGGGTTTTAATAAATGCCCTTCATCAGGGTCTTTTGTACCTGATAAATGTGGCCAACATGGAAAGACTTTACATTTATACACAGGGTAGGAAGTCAGCAGACAGAAAATAGAGCATATTTTTTTTAGTCTCGGTCATCACATGACTTTTGTTGATTGGTGACAACTTTCTATGAAGACGATTTTAAAGAGATTTCCTTCTTTTTAGGATTTATTCACAAAGCCACATCACATAGTGCAAGGTTCCTGCAGCATTCTGATCTTACCACTTTATCAACACAGTCATAGATATCATGAAATCGCCCTCTCATAATCCGCTGATTAAGACCCTGATGCTGATTTAATTAAAGTCAGTTGTCTGTAGCACAAGGAATGGTTTTTAACAGAAAAGCCTGTTGCTGTATATTGTAACATGTCAGCAATTTTTGGATGCAGGCTAATGAAGTTTGTCCATCAATTTACTCAATCCCCTCCTACAAGGTCATAATTAATTCTCCAATGATGCGGTTAGCATCAGGGGAGCACAGTGATCATCTGACTATGTACTGGCTAAAACTGTTGGGCAGAACTGGCAATCCTGGTTGTGATATCTAATTATTGGAGTTTCTGAGAGGTAATATCAGGGCCATCAATGGCAGTCTTTCTTTATCGGTCCCCATCGGACATCGATGTCACCGGACTCCTCCCCCTTCCCTTCGATAGCCAACGGAGCCACTTGGGCCTGTGAGTTTGCCCAAGAAACTTTCTGCACGAGTGCCAGCCAAGGCATTGGCCTATACACATACAGCACAGCAATTAAGTAATAAAATGAACTAGGATCACACTAATCCAGCACGTTGTTATTCTGAGTTGCCCCACTCAAGCGGCGGCCATATTGGGTGGGGCACGTGAGATTAATAACGTGCTGGATTAGTGTGATCCTAGTTCATTTTATTACTTCATTGCTGTGCTGTATGTGTATAGGCCAATGTAGTTGGATCTGTATGTGCGTTATAATCAAAATTAATCGATTCCAAAAATTTCAATTAATCGAACACGAAAAGTTTAATCAGTAACAGCCCTAAAATTATAAAATATTTATTTAAAAAATTTATAAATCTAAATGGGTTTTGTGTGCCAGTAAGTAGCATGTATTTGTTTAATAAGGTAGGTAGTGAAGAACATGTGAAGACTATAACTATCCTAAATTTACATTTACGTTTGTTTTAAAGTAAACCTGTGTGCTTAGATAAAGCCTGCTGGAGGAGATGCAGGATAGCAAAGAAAAAAAACCTAGTGGTACCTGCATGTACCTTCTTCTTCTTTCTTTTTTTAAACATCTTTATCAGTGCTCCGGATGCCATGAATCTGAATGCAATAAATGGACATTCCATTGCATTAATCAACTTCAGCTCAGAAAGTCAAGGTCTTGCAGACACTTTCCTGCCTCATGGATATTCTTTTGGCCCCACAGCATGATAGGTGACCTGTCTGATCAGCAATAAGGTTTTAGAGGCCCCATTTCAAGGCTCTGCTTTTCAAATTGAAGTCAAGATTTGGGTAGATTCAGGATTTCAGGACTGTCATTATTATATCTAAAGGAGTATTAAGATATGTCTTGTAGTCTGCTTTACAGTCCTGCCAGCAGCTTAGCGGGGTTTATCTAAGCAAGGTTGTTCATTAATGGTTTCTCTAATATTGGTTTCACAAAAGTTCATGCAACCTTGCAGTAGGTTGACATATATAAAATGTTTTCCTTATCCATTTAGGGACAGAGGAATTCAGAAACAGCCGGGTTATACTGTTGCCTACAGAAGGTTGACACTGGCAAACAGAAAAATTGTAAGCAAGCTCCTGTGTAACCCATCCTCTGCCCAGCATGCCTCAGTTTTTTGCTAGAGGTAGGATGCGTTTTCTTTCGCTCTGCTGCTTTATTTTTGCTAGCCTTTCTTGTTTCGTGGAATTGTTTCCTCTGTGACTTCAATCAAGATTCTTCATTCACATTGGTTCTTGAGCTGGCCTATATATAGCACATATCCAGATTGTTTTTGTTTTTTTTTAGCTTTTGGAGGCCTTCCCCAGACCTGTGAGACTGTGCGGGGTTCACCTAGAACTTGACCTTTGGGCACTTGGCACGGTAACTCACAGTACTGGTAAAGGCTAGAGGACTGAGCGCTGATGTCATCTTCTGAGTATGCACGCTCCGTGTTCTCTTTTCTGCCTTCAGCTTTGAAAATCAGCATCCCGCTACTGCACCTGCTCCTGAAGAGACTTCTAGATCTCCGGTCTATTTCCACTGTCCAACTAAGTTACCTGACCTGATCACCACTGGCCGCCTAAAACTCAGCACCAGTTGCCCGGGTTTGTAAATGCCTGAGACCTTGTCTCACATTGGATCTAGTTGCATGTTTTTGCTAACAGACAGGGCAGTTCTGATGCCATGGGTAGCCTCAGCCCACACTCCCCTAGTGGTCCTGGTGGAGTTTACTTGGTTTCCTCAGAGGAAACCAGCATCTGTTGTCTGGAATCTGGTACCCTTATCATTTTAGCATCATCATTATCAGACAAGGCTTAAGCATCCCCCATATCCGCAGGGATCTTCATGTCCACCTCCACATGAACTTTTTAGCAGTTTGTGCTCGGCTGCTGAGGCATTCTGCCTGCAGAGACTCTAAGCATGCTCCTGCACAGTCTCTCATCCTCCTGAGCCCTTAAATCAAGCTGGGCCTGTCGGACCCTGTCACCATCTCTGACTTAGAGTCCCAACAGGCTATCTCTGAAGAGATATTTTTGAGGCAGCACAGTTTCCAGCCATTGACTCAGATTAACATGGGGTTGTTTCAAACCTTATTGATGCAGTGCATATTACCCTGCATCTGGAAGATCAGCTTGCTGTTCCAGGTCTGAGTTTAACAGCTCCTACAAAAAGCTTTCTACTACACCCCTTATTTGAGTCGTTCCTCTTATTTGAGTCATTCCTCTATGTGGACTGTTAGCAGATCCTAGATTGGAAGGTTTGGTGAATCGAAGGCTTGTGTCTTCACCTGTAACAGGAATCCTTCTGTGGACCTTTTTTCTCCTCTGAACTTTTCCCACTTTTTTGCTGATGACTACTTCATGTTGTTGGTCCATTTCTTCTTTATCAGGTAGTTATGTTTTTTGGTAGAATTTTGGTTTCACAGTCTCACTGTTTCAGGCTCAGTGTAGTTGAGTCATCCTCATTTAGCGGTGATGAAGCCTGACCTGGTATTGAACATCAGGTTGATCATCTGGCCTTCACTTGTTTGTTGACAGCTTCCCGTCTTGCAGGAGGCTTCTCCTTTATCTGGTTAAAATTTTGAATTGTTCCTTCAGGTAGCTATGAGATAGTTGTCAGTACTTTTATGGGCCTGTCAGTGGCTGTTGCCCACCCCTCAGTTGGACTGCTTTTGGATGTCCCGACTTTTTTTAAAATCCTATGTTTCTCAATGGTTGAGAAAGAAAATAAGATTTTTGCACTTACTATTTCTCAGAGACACGAGTCGCATCCCTCTGTGTTTTCTCTCTTGACCTTGGTACTGCTTTTCCACAAAACTTAGGCATGTTGGGTAGAAGAGAGGTTATACAGGGTCTGGCTTACCATTTTTCTGTTTGCCAGTGTCCTAAGCTCCTATAGGTGGCAGTATAACCTGACTTTTTCTGAAGCCTTGTGTCCCTCAATGGACTCAAAGAAATACACTTTGGGAATAAGTACAAAAATATATATTTTTTTTTTACTTCTTTTTCCCACAGGTAACAAAAGAACAATGGGACATGATGGAAAAATTAATCCGGAAAACAAAGGGTTCCTAAGAAAATTCAGTGCTGATTCCAGTTTAGAGATTTTTTTTTTTTAATCTCCTAAAACATGTCCTCATTTTCCTCGCACCATGTAGCTTTCTAATAGGCCTAACCAATATTACAATGTCATTGCGGTAATACTAGAGCAAGATTGACATGGATACATCCAGGCTTGTTGGCTTCAGCTGGAAGGAAAATTAATGTCCTTATGCCACAATTGACATAAAAGGAATTTTCACTAGCTGTTGCTTATTTTGTGGTCACTTAAATCTTGGTGTTGTGAACTGCATTTGGTGTTTTATCCCTTGACAATTTGCTCTTTAAAATGGGCAGTAAAAGTTGTTGTTGTTTTTCTCATAAAAATGGATATTCTAAGCTGAACTCTAAGATTAACACAAACATATTGCAGGGGTTAAATGCTTCTTAAGTCTAGATGTAGAGGAATGAGGTGTAATACTTATCTGATTTCTCTGTCCTGCACTGTCCTCTCAGATGCTCCAGGTGGATCACTGCTGCCCTTGCATACAGTGCACAGCTATTGGCCTCAATTTTATGTGACAATGGCAGCGTGAGTGTTGGCTGAAGTGCCTTAGAGAAGAAGCTTCGGGAGACCAGTTGCAAAGATGGAGGGGGCCGTCCAGGGCAAGGAATAGGGTAAGTATTACACCTTATTCCTCTACCCCAAGACTTGATGAGGGATGAGCCCTTGCATCCTGGGCTGTGCCACTGCAAGGGTAGTTTTTGTGTAATTCCAGTAGTTCAGGCACTCATATTTTTTTTTCTCTTAACACAAGATCAAAGTCCAGCTCAAATGGCCCTTTTATTGCTCTCCTCAGTGGTCACCTCACAGAACCTCATAATTGCCACCAATGTGGAGCTAGTGGTGTATGAATTAACAATAACCTGGGTAATAATCTTTAAATGAATGTCACTAGCAATAACACAAAAATCCATTAAAATACCACGTGCCATAAATTTGGTTGATAAGTGCAATAACGAATGTAAAAACATTTTGATTGTTAAAAATTGGCAAATGTACATAAAATACAGCAAAATGTATGCTTTACTGACTTGATCCATATTACATGAAGGTGCAGGCTGTGGAGCTGTCATCCTGATCCTTTCTTCAGTAATTGAGGAGTCAATGAGGACATGCACATTGTCTGGACAAAACCCAAGTCCGCAACGGCAGCCAATATTTCTATTGTGACAGGTTCCCTTTAAAATATAAAAAAATGAACCTGATTTGCTGTTACAAATGTTTCATTACTAACTGGCTAAATCCACCCAGGTAATGCATCTGTCACTTTCAACACATTTTCATTACCAAGTGTTTAGGTCTATTTTTTATTCTTTTAGCGCCTTCAAGAAATCGTTAAGCCTTAAATGGAAAAATTACATCAAATAATTTAATACAAATTACATGGTGCATACGCAATAAATATAATACTTGCAAAAAAATCTTGTTTTGTGGTGTTTTTTTGTCCAAGTGATCAGGGTGTCTGCAAAAAGAAGGAACCATTAGAAGATCTAATATTCCAGGTGTGATTTTTGCCATATTGTGTTGCTGTTCACTGCAGGACAGGTGACCTCAGTCCATACGCCTCTATTATGGATAGGGGCAATTCCTCAGGTATTCAAAGAAGGTTCAGATGCCAGCAGTATTGATCCTGGTACCCCTATTACTTGGGTCTTGGGTCCATTCAGAGTGTGACCCCCCTTCCTCAGGTCTTGCCTGGAAGGATTTCCCCACAGGTATGCACACTTATATGGACCAAACTGCATTTTTAATTGTTGTCTATGACTCCAGAGGTCATAAGCGTACCTCTACTCCTTCACCTGCAGAATCAATATGTTATCTACCTGCAGACTTAGCAGCCCGTGAGACTTCAGCTGCAGAAGCTCCATCTTGAGTGTTGAAAACCTTTGCCAGATAAAGTTGTAGTTAAGCAGCCACCATGGCTCACAAGCTTGGAGGGACCCTTGCAGCTCTTATGGACGCTGTGCATGCCAGCTTAAATTTGGAGGTGCAGCCTGTAGCTCTACTAGTGTTGCTACCAGTCTAGGGTCCCTGAGAGAACCTAAGACCACTAAGACCCCATTCACACTGAGCGACATGCAAATCGCGCGACTTTGAGCGACATCTTCCTATTGGGCTGTATGCAATCAGGAGCAATATCGCTCAAAATCGCTCTAAAAAAGGGTCATGTAGAAGCGACAAGCTACCAGCGACGAGCTACAAGCGATATTGAGCGATATTGAGCCACATTGAGCGACGAGATGTGAACAGCTACATTGAATTGTATTGGTGAAGCTACATAGAGCGATATAGTGCGGAAATATGAGCGATATCGCTACAAAAATCGCGCGATAAATCGCTCAATATTAACGGGGCCTAAATCTTTTCCCATGGACACACTTTTTCCAGACGTTCTGTATGTATTCTGGTGATACACTGTTTACAATTCCCAAACGTTTTGTGGTCCAATACCAATTTAAAGAAGCCTTTGTTAAGAAGTGGGTTGATCTGGCAGTGTCCCATCTTAATAAAGCTCTGATAACCCCTGTAGATGAAGTGCCAGTGTTTAAGGATCTTTATAGATAAATAGCTGGAGACACTTTTCCAAAACCTTGTTTTTTTGGCAAACCCTGCTTTGCAATCTGCCATGACTGTGTGTTTTTAGTCTTGTCAAACATTAGGGGAATGATCTAAATTCATGGCAAGGAATCCCGATTAATTCCACACTAATCCTTTTATATGTTGAATGTTTAGACTTCATGTTGACAGCCCTGCACTACTGTGTAGATGGGTTAGTGAATGTTTCCCCATCTTATTTTCCATATGTCTCCTATCAGTGAACATGTGAAGAATGATTTGGTTGAAATGTTGGGCTGCAGAGCACACGTTTAAAAGGTGCTTAATGCACATGCCCTTTGAGGGTGAACATCTCTTAAGAGGCAGCCAGAACACTCATCAAGGATGCTATTGGGGGTAAGAGTACTTGTATACCCCAGCAAAAGGATTAGAAGAATCACTCCTCTAAAGGAAAAGAACAGTTTCTTTTTATTTCTCCCAGGCTGCAGCCTCTAAAACTTAACCAAAGTCAGTTATCCCACAAGCCCTGGGCCCCTAAATCCCCAGAACATGCAGACACATCCTCTTCAATATTAAAGTATGCCCCCACTTTCCTAAGTGGGAGGACACAGTTAATCTTTGGACAGACAGCATCTCAGATGCTTGGGTATTGGAGGTGGTTTTAACGGGCTACAGACTAGAGTTCCCAATACCCTCCTCACTTCATGTCTTTCATTCTTCTAATTTCCGTATGGAATTTACCAGGTCTGCCATGGCCTCCGTTCATCAGGCATTCTATCTGGCCTCTCTAGATATCAAGGATGTGTACCTGCATGTCCCTGTTTCCAGCACATTCTATTTGGTCTGTCTTCTATACCCCATGTATTTACCAAGGTTCTAGCCCATGTGTTTGCCGTGTTGCACTTCCAGGGCATCCCCATTGTCCGATATCTATCTGGACGACTTCATGTGGAGGAACAATCGGCACAGATCCTGACCAACAAAGTGGCGCAGGCGGTTCAAGCCTTGAAAAGGTTCAGTTGCACCCTGAACCTTCAAATGTCTTTGTTGGAGCCACTTGAAGTATCTGGGTCTTATCCTGGACACAACTTAAGCCAGAGGTTTTCTTTTACAAGAAAATCTTCAACTTTTCTGCTCCCAGGCTCAGACTCGTTAGCCCAATTCACTGTTGCATGAGAGTCGTTGGGCTGATGGTAGCATTTTTTTCAAAGCAGTCTAATTTGCCAGATTTCACTGCAGAACTCTTCAACTCAACATCCTGTCATTGTGGGACTAATCTGTTTTAGTCTCTGAACAAGTGATTCACCTGACGCCAAAGACCAGGTTGTGTCTGGTTCAGTTATGGAACTAGGGAAGCCCTTCCTTCTGATCTCTTGAAAGATCATCACAACAGCCTGCCAGACTGGAGAAAAGTCCTGGATGCCCTGTCTGTGCAGGAGACTTGGTCCCTAGAGAAAGTCCAACATTGTTGGGCCTGTTAGTGTTTTGTTTACAGAGTTGCCCACCCCTGAGTAGGTCTGCTTTTGGATGTCCCAGATGCCTATGAATCCTTTTTCCCCTCAATGAGCGAAAAAGAATACAAGATTTTTGCACCCACAGTAAAATCCTTTTCTTGGAGTTCATCAAGGGACACGGGTTCCCACTCCTCTGTGTTTTTGGTCTTGTTCCTACACTGCTTTGTCACAAAACTGAGGCATGCTGGGAGTAGACGGGGTTATACCAGGCTAGTAATTTTTTCTTTTTTTTCCAAATCTTTTTGTAGGTGTCAGTATAAAACAAAAGTCTCTGAATCCTATGTCACTCAATGAATGAAGAAAAGCATTTTACGGTAAGTACAAAATTCCCTTTTTTTTTAACAAAAGCAGGCAGAGTAAGTACATGAATCTGAATTATTATCAACCTCTGAAGTCCTTGTACAGTACATCAAAGCTCAGAGGGAACGGGAAAACGGCACAAGGAGACAATCGGGTGTTCTGCAGTGCAAAGAGCATGCTGATAGGTGAGAGCAGAGTGACAGATCAGCAAAACTGAAAACTGGAGCAGATACATATCAGGTCCCCCTCCCCTAGCAGGGAGGACTGTGCTGTGTAACAGCTGCGTAAATACTCAGACTGGATGTACATATGTGTATTTCATCTGTAAATTTAGCTGTTTGGCTGGAGTTCAACTTTAACTCATCAGCATCTACCAGAAACTATAACACTAGTTTTTTTGTTTGCATTGACCACATGAACTCCTCACATGTGAACCCAGACCAAAAAAGTCAACAAGACTATAGATTTCCTTTACAAAATAGTCGAAACCCACATAGAGAACACAATTTTGGTTCCTTAGCCGTCAGGTCGTAGAGTACATATGATCTGTCTGCAGGTAACCAGTAAATTGAAAAAATACAAAGGAAAAGGGTTGCCATAGTTACAAGGGAAAATTAATGTATATCTTT